GCAGAGACGTCACCCAAAGCCACACCGGATCACGTGGAGAGAGATCCATGACCTAGTGGAAACTGCACGCCACAGATATCCCCCTGGAGCTCCCTTTTTTGTCATTCTCATGGCTGTCTTTACCCTGCTTAGCAGCAATTCTTCAGACAGCCCCCACTCTCCCTAATACCATGTTCTAGAGATTATATTTTTCAAGGAAAGAATCAGATCCATGGGACAATCGGTGGAACATTAAAGTAATAACTCAGGTGTATTTTCTAGGTACCCTACAGCTAACTTTCATGTCTCTCAACAGCTTACATCTGCAGCCAAGTCTGTGTTAACTTATAATGTTATTCTACAGGAAAGACAGAGGACCAAATAAGATCAACTATGTCCTGAAACAAGTCTAACTTTCTTCCCTTTCACCACCTACCCCAATGCCTGTTTCTTTTGTGCATCCAGCAATAGATTTTTGCTGACAACATTACCAGCTACCACCCTTCTAGACCCAGGAACAGATAAAGACTTCACTGACTTTCATCTAAGTGGATTCAAACACCTGGCTAACTATTACATTTCAGGTGTGAGAAGCTTTTTCTCCTACACAGCTGCTAGCAGAGAGAAAATCTTCTTCCACCTGCTGGCAGAGACCGAACTTACACTGGATGCTGAAGACGTTGCTATGACAACAAGCTGTACCCGATTTTGTTTTGGCTGAACACAAGCTGTGACAAGCTGGGACATCCGTGACTGATAGCCTGAAGTTTCTCCAACAGCAAATGAACTTTCTCACCAGGAATGTGCTTCACAATAAAAGAACACTGGATTTGATAACTGTTGAACATGGGGACTATGTGATATTGGGAAAGATACTGTTTCTTTGTAAATGAATCAAGTGTTGTTGAAACCAATGTTAACACTCTCAAAACTTTGTAATCTATTTGGCTTAGCAATCCCTTGTTTTGCATAGCTCCTATCCCTTGTTACCCCCTGATAATACTGTGTTATTTTGATACTTGCCCACTGTTTTTAAGGTTTCCTTGCTGACAAATTACTGCCATTTGCTAAAATCACTACAAAATAGGTCATGGTCAATTATCAGACTTTGGATTCTCCTGAGATGAGATGAGTTAGCCCTTAGGGCTGGTGATGGCACTTCTCCATATTTAAATCAAAGAGGAAGAGATGTTGGGGACCCCTGTTGTGTGAAGTAGCAGTCTCTTCATGTCCAGATAGCCCATGGGGCTCCTTTCATAGCAGGGTGCCTTCCTGGCATCTTTCCTGACTCTCCTTTTGAAGTGCCCACCACAAATGCTCTAGCATAAACATAGCCTTTGGCTCTGAAAGGTACCATGCTTTCCTGTGTGATTTTTCCAGGCAGACAGCAGTCTGGCAGAAACCCACTTCCACATGTAAATAGAATGCCTCACAAAGCATCTAACAGCCAAAGCTTTTACCACAACCCCCACGGTGTAAGTATCCTAGTTTTCTCTTAATAGAGAGAGAGCTGGGTCGCAGAGCTGCTGAATTACTGAGAGCAGAGACACTTAATAAAGCTGTAACACAGACTAAGCCGAGTCTTGAGTCCTGTGCCTTACTACCGGCGACCTAGCCTCTCCGGGGGGCGCACTCCCCCGTGACCGACTTACGGACATCCTAGCTTTTGCTGTCCTCGTACTCTTCCTGTGGGGTTCAGTGGCCAGTGTACCTCGCATCCTGAGGAAAGTACACAGGTGAAATAGGGACAGGATTCGGCTGGACAACGCTCCAGTAGCAGAGAGACTGTCAGCACCGGAGCGGCGGACAGTGACCTATCTGCTGCTGCTCCCAGAGACGCCTGTGGCCAGAGCCGTGCTGCGACTCGCCAGGTGTGGCGGAGACCCCGAGATCCAGGGGCCCAGAGCGGCCCCGAGATACTCGCGCACCCCACGCCTGGGACCCATAGAGACACAGAGAAGCCCGCGGGGCCAGACCCGCCTTCCTCCAAGCGCACGGCGGAGATGCCTGCGGACCTGCTGTGCCATCCCGAGAGTGCGCGCAGAGACCCCGGGCGCCCAGCGCACGCTCCCTGTAAGTACTCTGAAATAAAGAGATCCCATAAACTGCAGCTACTAATGATTCTATGGAAATTATTGACACCCAGTTTGTAGATACAGTCCATGCCAGAGAAGTCACAAAGGACAAAAAAGAATAATGAATTTCAGTACTCTGGACAATTCCTATTTTACAACACTTAATACCTTCTTACCCAAACCTATGCCATTTTCTTACCCAAATAAACATTTTCTTGCACTAGAGTATAAATTTTATCAGTTTTAGATATTTTACATCTCAATTAACTTCAAGAATATAAATACTGTGTCATGTTACAGAGTTTTAAGGATAATCAGAGTTGATGTACTCTAAAATGTTGATCTAGTAGCAAATTTTATGAGACACATTATTCCTTTAAAGGGTTATTTCATGAATAAAATCTGAATGCCACCAGCATGTCAAACACTGTAAAGATATAGTCTCTTCCAAAAACAATTCAAAATCCCATGGAAAAGCAAATCAGTAAGCAATTAAAATGGAGTTATGACAGGGGCCTCTCTGAGTACACAGAGGCCACAGAGAATGTCTAGGCCTGTCTAGAGCAGTAAGAGTAACTATGTTATGAAGGTAATGGCTTTTCAAAGAAGCAAAGAAAGGTAATGATTAAAAATGAAGTTACTGCTGACAGCACAGGAAGAACACAAGACATGGTATAGTACACAGAATAAACTGGTAAGATACCAGAAATGGCCAAGTTCTACAAAACTGTTTTCTTTTTTTAAAAACATTTTATTTATTACTTTTATTTAATGTGTATGCGTGTATTCCCTGCTTGTAGGTAAGTGTACCCATGTCATGCAATGCCCGCAGAGGACAGAAGAGGCTACTGGATCCCCTGGGACTGGAGTTACAGACAGCTGTTAGCTGCCATGTGGGTGCTAGGATTTGAACCCGGGTCTTCTGCAAGAACAACTAGAGTTCTTAACTGCTGAGCCATCTGTCCAGCCCCAACAAAACTGTTTTCAATTTAGATTAAATCTATACAGAAAAATCCTAAATCAGTCAAGGATTTGGAGGGAATAGCCCCAAAATCCAGGTAGACTGATTTAAATGAAGTTTCAAAACAAATCAAATTATATTTTTTGGATAGGAAAGAATTTAAAGAGTAAGAAAAAATGGAGAATTACCTCCTTTTGTAGTGTCATTCTGAGCCTGGATGCCATGATGCAAAGAATTATGAACAGCAGAAAGAAGATCTGACGCTTGAACCATCAATTTTTGAGCTTCTGCAACAGCACTGGTCTAGCAAACAAATCACCAAAAACATTCTTACAAGGGTATTCTTTCACTCAAAGATATAGATTAAATAGGAAAATCCTATAAATAATGAAATTAAATGTTTACTGCAATGATACTGGTTTTCATAAATAATTCACTTAATGAAGGATGCCCCAAATCCTGATAGAATAAAAAATATTTTTCTCCCTCAAATCTGTATCTTACACAAC